TACGCGAAATTTTAAAAAATATATTATTTTATGATAAACACTGAATAATCAGTAATGTAATTTATTTAATTTATTTTAGATGTAGATTATATACTGTGTATAACTTGAATTATACACCAACAATTTTGGGGGTACAAAGTTGAAGAGAAATTATATCTGGGGGTACGCGAAATTTTAAAAAATATATTATTTTATGATAAACACTGAATAATCAGTAATGTAATTTATTTAATTTATTTTAGATGTAGATTATATACTGTGTATAACTTGAATTATACACCAACAATTTTGGGGGTACAAAGTTGAAGAGAAATTATATCTGGGGGTACGCGAAATTTTAAAAAATATATTATTTTATGATAAACACTGAATAATCAGTAATGTAATTTATTTAATTTATTTTAGATGTAGATTATATACTGTGTATAACTTGAATTATACACCAACAATTTTGGGGGTACAAAGTTGAAGAGAAATTATATCTGGGGGTACGCGAAATTTTAAAAAATATATTATTTTATGATAAACACTGAATAATCAGTAATGTAATTTATTTAATTTATTTTAGAAGTAGATTATATACTATGTATAACTTGAATTATACACCAACAAATTTGGGGGTACAAAGTTGAAGAGAAATTATATCTGGGGGTACGCGAAATTTTAAAAAATATATTATTTTATGATAAACACTGAATAATCAGTAATGTAATTTATTTAATTTATTTTTGATGTAGATTATATACTACGTATAACTTGAATTATACACCAACAACTTTGGGGGTACAAAGTTGAAGGGAAATTATATCTGGGGGTATGCGAACAAAAAATTTGAATACCACTGATCTAGGGTATTATTTTCTGATAAAAAAAAAACTGCTGCTCAAAATTTAATCTGTTGAAGGCCCAACAAGATTTTGTTATTTAAATATTTATTTCATGTCAATTATTATTTGATATATTATGTGCGGTTTTTCAGTCGGACAACCTGTTTTATAATAACGTAAAATTCGACGTGTAAGTAATTACAAAGATACTTTGTATTATTCCAGAAATGTCAGCCTGTATATTGTTTAAAATTTCATTACATTTCAATTCTACAGCTTATATCTGCATGACTCCATCACGAAAAATACGAGACTACTTAAAACTTAACAATAGAATTCTGATTATACGAAGGAACTCACATTAAGAGTGCAGTGTTTTATAAATATTACGGACAGTGAGGGATTGTAATCTGAGGCTAGAAATGATGCAAGCACGCGACAGATAGGACACTCAGTCTGAGTTTAAATTCGTTTGCAAACCCTAAAATTCCAAATTTGCAATAGACGTATTAAAAATTTCAGTTTCTGTCCCTTATTGATTCAGTTTCTCAGTTAATGTTATCAAAGACCATCATTCGACGCACGCATCAGACCCAAAATTTTGGACAACTTCATAAAAAATAGAATTTACCATTTCGTCACGTTCAGTACATAACCAGACGTAACCGTTTGCTACAGAATTATGACGTGTGAGACATAAAACTTCCAGTCCATCAACTTCATTGCCACTACCACAGAATCTTATCTGTTCAGTATTAATGTAAACGGCCGATTTCCTATTGAAGCAGTCTGCAGAGCGCCATGATAATTTACTTTTCAGCATTAATTACATACGAAAGAAGTTCGATTCCCGACAAGGGCGGTAATTTTTGTTCTCCGTTAACTTACTCAGTGTCTGAGAGTCACCTGGCTTCTTGCCTGACGTATAATATCGGCTCCCTCCCTGTGATGAACCGGCCTGGTTTACAACTGATTTCTCGTCTCTTTTAGGTGCAGAGGTTACGAATTTGTAGGCATGTAATAAACCATTGTAAGACTTGAGGTTCTCACAGCGGTGAGTATGAAGATTTCTGTCTTCTGGGTTGTTGCGCTGTGTAGTCTGTACGATGTTAACCAACGTTTCAGAGGTCATACTGCCTCCGTCATCAGGGCGATGAGTATGATGATTTCTGTCTTCTGGGTTGTTGCGCTGTGTAGTCTGGTCGATGTTTACCAACGTTTCAGAGGTCATACTGCCTCCATCATCAGGGCGATGAGTATGAAGATTTCTGTCTTCTGGGTTGTTGCGCTGTGTAGTCTGGTCGATGTT